GTGATATATCTACATAACAGAATATTACTCAGTTGCTAAAAAAATAAAACAAAGTCATGAATTCACAGGCAAAATGGTGGAGTTAGAAAAGCATCATCCTGAGTGAGGTATCCAGGCCCCAAACGATAAATATGGTATGTATTTTCTTTATGAATATTAGCTTTCAATCTTTTGATACACATTGTGTCATCCATATAACCACTAAGCTTATATAGAGAGTAAGAAATAGGGAGGAGGGAAATATCTCTCAGGGAGGGGGAAATATAATATATAATTATGGAAAATTGAAGGTCTGGAATAGGAGGAGTAAAGAGAGAAACAGCTAACACTAAGGACTATTTGAGGAGTCTTAAAAAAAACCTATTACAATAGAAGCTTCTTAAAACCTATTGGATGGGGTTGGGGAAGGAGGGTAAGTGGAGGGAATAGGAGGAGGGAGTGGAGTGGGAACTTGGATTGGTATGTATAATAAAAAAAAGATAGTTTGTTTTCTTCTTGGAAAAGTAAATAAATAAATAAAAAGAAAAATGGGATGTGGCCTTCAAATGGGTCTCCTATATTTCTTGTTGTATGAGTATTTAAGCTGTGAAGAACAGAGAAACTTGGGAACATCATGAGAAAACATCACGAGAGAAGGAATTAGAATGGGCTAGAAAGATAACATCATGTATGAGAAAATTAGAAGGGAAACATCAAGAGCAAAGATAGCGTCAGAATGAGAGACAGAATAGAGGAAGCAGCTACTGTAACAGAAGAACACCTTGACAGAATGCAACATGAAGAAATAAGAAGGAATTCATCAGGAAAAAATATGCATAAATAAAAGAAATCGAAATGAAATCACCAAAGAGCAGGGAAGCCAAACCCTTAATGCTAGAAATATGTTACATCTAATTGAGTTGTTGGCCAAAGATGCATCACAGAAACCTTCTAATTCAAGCAACTCAGAATATTTCAAATCTATTGTTTGCTCTCCAAAATTTTTTTATATTGAAAAATATTTTGTGAAATTATATCTTTCCTAGCTTCATTTTAGAAGCACTGTACAAATGTGATATGTACCTACATGATATACACATATTTTAGTAATTATAATTTTTTCTTTTATTTTTTTAAAAAAGAAAGCAAACAATCTTTTTATTTTACATTCTAATCTCAGTTCCCACTCCCTTCACTTCTCCCATTCCCTCAATGTACTCCCCCAGTCCACCCCTCATCCACTCCTCAGAGGGGGTAAGACACATTGATTTGGGGAAGGTCCAAGGCTCTCCTTACTATATGTATGCTGAGCAAGGTATCCATTCAAAGAGAATGGGTTCCCAAAAAGCAAATGCAAGTGGTAAGGATAAATCCTGGTGTCCCTGCCAGTGGCCCCACAGTCTCCTCAAACCATACAACTGTCACCCACATTCAGAGGGTCCAGTTTGGTCCTATGCTGATTCCTTCTCTGTCCAACTAGATTAGTGAGCTCCCATTAGCTCAGGCAAACAGTTTCTGTGGGTATTCTCATCATGGTCTTGACCATTTTGCTCATATTCTCACTCCTCCCACTCTTTAACTGGGCTTTGGGATCTCAGCCCAGTGCTCCTCCGTGGGTCTCTGCCTCTGTTTCCATCAGCTGTTGGATGAATGTTCTATGGTTACATTTAAGACAGTCAGCAATCTGACTAAAGGGCAAGGCCTATTTAGGTGTCTTCTCCACCATTGCTTAGGGTCTTAACTGGGGACATCTGTGTGGATTCCTTGAAATTTCTCTAGTGCCAGGTTTCTTGGTAGCCCCATAATGGCTCCCTAAATCAAAATATCTTTTTCCTTGCTCTCATCTCTGACATTACTCGATCTTGATTATCCTGTTCCCTCAAGTTCTCCACTCTTCCCTTTTCCCACCCTCTTTTTCTTCTGCCCTCCCTTATCCCTCCACCCCAATGCTCCTAATTTTGTCAGGTGATCTTTTCTATTTCTCCTTTCCAGGTGGATCTATATATGTTTATCTTAGGGATCACCTTGCTACTTAGTTTTTCTAGGGTCATGGATTATAGGCTCGTTATCCTTTGCTTTACAGCTAGTATCCATTTATGAGTGAGTACCTACCATGTTCATCTTTCTGGGTCTGGGTTACCTCACTCAGGATAGTTTTTTCTAGTTCCATCCATTTGCATGCAAATTTCAAGATGTCATTTTTTTTAACCACTGAGAAGTACTCCATTGTGTAAATGTACCACATTTTCTTTATCCATTCTTCTCTAGTTGGGGGATATCTAGGTTATTTCCAGGATCTGGCTATTATGACTAATGCTGCTATGAACACTGAACAAATGTACCCTAATACTGAAACCACCAAAAGACTCAACCAAGAAAGAGGATTACAGACCAGTTTCCCTCATGAACATAAATGCAAAAATACTCAATAAAAAACTGGCAAACTGAATCCAAGAACACATCAAAAAAAAAAAAACATCCACTGTGATCAAGTTGACTTTATCCCAGAGATGCAGGTATAGTTCAACATATAAAAATCTATAAATGTAATCCACCATATAAATAAAATGAAAGAAAAATCATATAATCTCTCATTAGATACTGAAAAGGCATTCAACAAAATCCAACACCCCTTCATGATAAAGGTCTTTGAGAGATCATGGAGTCAAGGAACATATCTAAACATAATAAAAGCAATATACAGCAAGCCAACAGCCACCATCAAATTAAATGGAGAGAAACTCAAAGCAATTCCACTAAAATCAGGGACAAGAAAAGGCTGTCAACTCTCTCCATATCTGTTCAGTGTAGTTCTTGAAGTTCTGGCTAAAGCAATAAGATAAAAGGAGATCAAGCAGATTAAATTGGAAAGGAAGAAGTCAAAATTTGGCTATTTGCAGATGATATTATAGTATCCAAAACTATACCAGGTAACTCCTACAGCTGATAAACACCTTCAGTAATGTGGCAGGATATATCAACTCAAATAAATGAGTAGCTTTCCTGTATACAAATTATAAAGAAGCTGAGAAAGAAATCAGAGAAACATCACCCTTCACAACAGCCACAAATAACATAAAGTATCTTGGGGTAATACTAACCAAAGAAACAAAAGACCTTTTCGACAAGAACTTTAAGTCTTTGAGGAAAGAAATTGAAGAAGATACCAGAAAATGGAAAGATTTCCCATCCTCTTGGATATGTAGGGTCAACATAATAAAAATGGCAATCCTACGAAGAAGCAATCTATAGATTCAATGCAATCCCCATCAAAATCTCAACACAATTTTTCACAGACCTTGAAACAACAATATTCAACTTCACATGGAAGTAAAACAGGACAGCCAAAACAATCCTGTACAATAAAGGAACTTCCAGGGGCATCACCATCCCTGACATCAAGCTCTATTATAGAGCTACAATAATGAAAATAGCCTGGTATTGGCATAAAAATAGACAGGTTAACCAATGGAATTGAATCAAAGACCCAGTTATTAATCTACACACCTATGAACATCTAATTGTTGACAAGAAGCTAAAATGATACAGTGGAAAAAAGAAATCATCTTAAACAAATGGTGCTGGAATAGCTGGATATAAATGTGTAGAAGAATGAAAATAGGAAATAGAAAACACTATCCTGAGCGAGGTAACCCAGACCCAAAAAGATGAACATGGGATGTATTCACTCATAATTGGTTTCTAGCCATAAATAAAGGTCACGGAGTGTATACCTGGTGAACCTAACGAAGCTAAAGAAGAAGGTGAACCCAAGAAAAAA